TGTGTGTGAGAGAGAGAGAGAGAGAAATAGTAAGACAGCATAAGTTGTTATAGCTTCCTCACTCTCTTTCACTCACACACACACTCTCTCTCTCTTTCTCTCTCTCTCTCTCTCTCTCTCTCTCTCTCTCTTTCTAGCTATCTCACTCCCTCACTTTACCTTTGCCATTGTACGTCATGTGTCAATGTGTCTGTCATGTGTCCAGCGCTGCGTGTGATATTGACAGTTGGGACAGGGGCGTGCGGAGCCCAAGAGGAGGCCAGGCGAGAGTCCTTGTCCTGTAATCGCTGAGTGAACGCCAATTGCTCCGCATTGTGCCAAATTTGCCAAAAATGAAGGAAGACGACGATAAAGGAAAATAACTTAGACCGCAGACGCTGATGGAATAACTGTTGCCTAACTGAACTCAAAATTATGGTAGGTAAATGTGCAGATGTTTTCAGCCAAGCCAAAGCAAAGCCAAAGTAAGGCAAAGCAACAACAACAGCAACGACAACAACAACAACAACAACAGTGAGTGAGAGTGGAGAGACCCGCAACAGGACCAGGCAGCAGGATGACAACCACGTTGACATTGATTGAACGTTGTCCACAACAAACAGCAAACACACACACACACACACACGCACGCGCTATGTATATGCTATTGGCCATCGCTCATTGTGTGTGTGTGTGAGTGTGCCGGGCATAGAGGAAACGGCATACAGGTTGTTAGTCACACGGTGTTGATTGTTATACCCTGGCGATAAAGGGCCACAACGAATGTGCGACAATGTTTATGGGGCCCGAAGATAATTAGCTCAACAAGGAGCTAACTCTATGGCACTCGATTATCGATAAATATGACTATCGATAGGGCCGGCTAAAGGTATCAATTTATGATGTGTTTAATAGTCGATTTTTCTATGGATCTATATCAGTCTAATTACATTTGTGAATGGAGCTAATAAGCCAAAATACCTTTCTTGTGCAGTCGATGTAACTTGTGTAACGATGTTAACTGTAAATATATATAACTCTACTCATCGAGAGCCAACATTTTTACTTTGACTTTTGTACATTGATTACTCAATTTCGATTTGCTTAGGAATTAAAGATCTATGTGGACTTATATTTGTATATGGCTTGTTTCAATTTGATCAAAGATTAATCATTTAATTATGCTATAAGTCTGCGGGAGTTTACGTATGATATCATATCTATGATAATATAGATTTACTTAAATTCTATTTAATTGATAAATTATTTTAATAGGCTTGTTAAAATATTTCTATTTATTATTTAAAGCTTCTTTAAAATAGAACTTTTTAAGTTAAGTAAATTGTATTAGTTTTTTTATTTATTTTTTTTATATATAATATATTAAGAATTACCTTGTATTGAAACATTTTAATAAATAATATTTAATGCTCTGTAATCGAAGCGTAGAAATATTATGACCTTGCTGCTTGAAAATTATTTATATATTATTTTAATTTAGCTACAATTATGGAATATTCGAAAATATTTAACAAATTCTTTATTAAATTCATAAATACTACTATAGAAAAATATACGCGTATTTTTTATAAGCTTCTCAATTATTAAGCTGCAACAAAATTTGTTTTCGATTTCATTTCCCATCGGAAATGCATCACAAATAATTTTATTACTACTTTTCACTACTTACAGTGCATTTAATTATTATGAGTTGAATGTTTATAAATAACAATATACAGTATATTGTAAATGTATAAAGAAAAAACTCAAATTTTACTTATATTTTGATTCATCTTCAATTTACTCACTCCCGCCTATCTATTTTCTACTCATTTAAGTTGAGTCTCTTATTCATAGTGTAAGTAGCTGAGCACTCAATTAGTGAAATGTATTTAATTCCAAATACCTTTTGCTGTTCCTGCTGCTGTTGTTGTTGTTATTGTTGCTCGATAGTGTAGCTGTAGTTCGACTTCTTAAGCAGCTAACCGCAAAAACCATTTCCTGTTCCTTTTTACTGGTTTTTGTTGTGTAGTTTGAGTTGTTGCGGTGGCGCTTTGGGTGTTTGGTTTATTTTAATTGCCTGGACTCTTTAATTGCTGAAATATTTAAATTAGTTTGCTGAGAGCTGTCGTCGGCGATTTGAGTGAGCAGGTGATTCAATCTAGTGTGTGTGTGTGTGCGTGTGCGTGTGTGTTTGAGAGCTTAACTTTGCGACTTACTGTAAATGTATAATGCTTCTATATATGCATGTATGTGCGTGTGTGTGTGTGGCCTGACCGTTGCCAGCCATTAAATTACATTGAACCGCACCCGAAAACAGGATACTTTGTAGCAAACAACAATAGCAACAATGAACTGAGCCAAAGGACGCTCAGCGAACGAGCGAGCGAGTGAGCGAACGAACGAGCAGGTTTTCGTATTTAAGACGAAATAAATTGGATTAGAAACCGCAAAAATCCAATTGTCTATTGTGGTGCGGGCTCGAAGATGCCGCACGTAACGCCCTCACGCTCAGAACCCCCACCCCCTTCGCCACCAACCTTTTCCACGTCCACTTGCTACTTTTCTGACTTTTCTGGGCTGCTTTAGATGTTGGCAACCTGGCCGAATCTGAGTTCGACTCCAAATCCGAATGTGGGTCTTAAAATATTTAGCAAGAAATGCGGCGAGTTTTTGTCTGTTTGTCAACGATGTCACACGCTCTCTTTCTCTCTCTCTCTCTCTCTCTCTCTCTATCTCTCGCTCTCTCTTGCTTGCTCAGTAACTGCAACGGTCTCTGTCTCTGTTTGTATGTTTGTATGCAAATCAAAGACTAATTGGATTTTTAAGCTCAAAATGTCAATGCCGCTACATGGTGCTTGCTCCCTGGGCTTTAGTCTGCAGCTCAGATTCAAACTCAGCTGTGTCTCTCGTGTCTGTCTGTTTGTGTTTGTGCACCTGACTAGATGGCAAAAAAAAAGAAGAAGAGAAAAAAAACGGTTGACAAAGGCAAATGAAACGTCGACGACCGGCGTCGTCGTTCTTATTTGGATTTATGTATTCGGTAAGCGATTTAAGCCGCACAGCAAACAATCTCCGATGCGTACAGTGAGCCCCAGCTAAATGAGCAGGGCGCTACTGCTAGCTAGCCGGCTGGCTAAATGCGCATGCAAATGGCACACTAATTTGATTCTATTTAAATCACATTGTGGACATCAGGCGACTTGGCTTAAACGCCCACTGATGGCTGTTTTGTTTGTGGGCCAACTCCAACTCAGAGCTCGAGCTCCACTAATAGTTAGCTGGCTGGCTAGCACAACCGTTTACAGTTGCTATGGCATGCTATTCCACGCTGCGGTTGCTGTGGCTCTACCTCTCTCTCTCTCTCTCTCTCTGTCTCTCACTCTCGCTCAGGCTCTCTTGGCCTCTGGCCCGCATGACGCGCACTCATCACGTAACAGTTTCTCGTGGTGTGTGTGCGCCTCGTCTCGTTTAAATGAGTGCCTTGAGTATCTTTTCTATTTGCGTGCACGCAGCTGCCAGCCAAACAGTCTGCAGCCTACAAACATGTCCTTGCCACCCAACAACAACAGCAACAGCAACAGCTACAGCAACAACAGCAGCGGCAGCAACAACAGAAGCGACAGATAACAAACACTCTACTAGTGGACCCAAAAGCACCTATACACACACACGCACAAGCACACACACACACATGCACACACTCATCTACTCTACTGTCTGTTTGACTAGCTGCTGTTGGTCCCCTAAGCGGGTCGGCGCATCATACGCTCACCACGGCCAAAAGCAGCTGCGAAGTAGCTGTCATGTTAGCTGCCGGACATGCGAAGTCGATAAAGCAGAGCTTCATGTGCTAAGCCTAACCAAGCAAAATACCCTTCCAATTGGAAATCCATTGCAATATAAGAAGGGAAATTTTGACATGTCTCACTTAAGCATCTTAGCATATGCAAATTAGTCGGAAATTTCAATTATTAGAAGACGACTGCACAGTGGAGATAATCAACTATAGTACAAATTTAGTATTATTAAATTTACCGATATTAACCTCTATCTACTGTACTTCTGTACAAATAAATTAGAGTTTTATTTAATATATTATTGATTGAAAATGTTTTAATTTTGACATTTTTTGATTTGTTTCTCCTTAGATTTTACTTGAATATATTTCAAATATAATATTTAAATAATTAAATTTAAATGTTGTTCACATTCTATGAACACCACAGACAACTGCAAGAACATTAATTTTTAATGTAGAAATAAAATTAATATCATATATAGGAATTTACACATTAACGTTTTCAGGGTCAGCCCACCAAATAAATGCTAATGGCCAAAACAAGTAGCCACTGGAAGCAAATCGAGCCATCCATCGATGCCATCGATAGCATCGRTTCCATCACTGGCGGATCTTTTTTGAAGTGGAGGTAAATGGCTCCGTTTATCCATTTTCTAAATGCATACACAGATGTAAACACATGAAATCGTGAGGATCTATGTAAGACGAATATTCCCTCAAGTCTACCGTTGCACATTATCGGGATACCAGAGTCGCTATGGTCCGCTGAAGAACGTTTGATATATCTTTTGAAAGTGCAAAACATACCAATTGTACGTGTCCGTTTATAACAATCTTTTGGGGAGACACTATAGTTTGGTAGTGCAATAGGCTGTGTGCTCAATA